CTACATTGTAGTTCATGTATGGCCTTCCACGTATTACACACTCGGGCCGCGTTCACACTTGCGAAAAGGTCTCTTGTCGCCGACCGAATTTACTGGGCGGAAAAAGACAGCGCCGTTCACATTTGTTGCCACCCGCCGCGTTCGCGCGGCTGCGGTCCCTCGCGAATATCAGAACAAATTGCTCCCGGCTCGAGTGGGGTTCGAGAAAAATGCTCTCGTAGACTTCCTCTTGCAGTGAACGCTAACCGACAGTGCCGTGTAAATTCCCAGCATTCTCTCGGCGATAAGAGAAGAAGGCAATAATAAAATAACGAGCGAACGGAGTCAACGTTTTTGGCAATTTTACTCCGCAGATCTTTCTTTTGTGGGATTCACTCTCTTCGTTGCTCAGATGCCTGTTGTCCAACGCGGTCGAATAATTTAGTCTCGATAAGCATCTCTGCCGACACAGTGATACGCGCAAGATGGCGCCATTTTAACAGCATGGGAACTCCGCCAACTCCGGCGGCAACCTCAACAACTCGGGCGACTCGGCGGCTCAGTGAGGATGTGACGCCGGCAAGTGCCATTTCCTACGCGCGTTCTGGTTAACTGCGGTGGCGTGAAAACGTTTTCTGCGGAGGAAAATTCTGTTTCGCACCGGTTGCTCCTGCGGTCTAATATTCCGTCGCCGGCGAGGGGATTCCCCCTCCCGGCTTCATTTCAAGCGAGGATTCGCTCCCGGGTCCGCAAGTGTGAACGAGCCGTTAGAGGCACTGACAGCTTAATAAACGAAGGGTGTGGGGGCTCCGGGTATCTTTTCATTCCAAAACAAGTGATGTGACGGTATTAGCCGAGAACGCCCATACCCGAATCACTCAGCAAGAATCGTGAAGTAATTAAGCCAACTCCTGCGTTGCTTAGCCTCTCAGAGACTATAGCATTAATGATGTGTCTGTAGTCTGTGAAAAGTTAAGACTACCCTAGGTGCTTCGCCTTCAGCGCAAACATTTTTGTTTGTCTTTGATGACACTTCGTCACACGCTTAACCGAAGCCCGGCGAAAGGCAACGGAGCTTCTAACGCATTCTTAACCTTTCACCGACTGTATAACGATACTTGTATTTGAACTTGAATTTAATGTGTGCATGTATTAGTACGAGTTGGGGATGTTGGCTTGTGGCTATGGTGGAAAAACGCTGAAAAACGCACGGACAGACAGAAAGACAACAGGACAGGGCGCATTGTCAACTAAAGTTCATTTGAAAAGTGCACACATATATACCCGACAGGCATCGTAATCGTCACTTGTCTTTGCCCAGCCCCCGTTTCAAAAACCCATATTCATCCGTGTGAAGGGCCAAGGAAGTTTCGCTGATGCCATCAGCCCCCCCCCCTCTACTTTTAATGTCGCGCGCGGTCAGTCACGCATCTGCCAGATTGCCCCACATAACTCGACACACACGTCAGTGGAATTTTATAAACTACGCCAATCGTACATTCCACGTACTTATTTCTGTGCTTGGTATCACACGAATCTGCGATCGGGCGTGGCCTATTGATTTTACTGCATAACCGCCCCAAATTTTAGCCGTAGAAAACCCTATCAGAAGATTGTACTGCTGTGCCACTATCTTCAGGTTAGCCGCGACATAATACATGCAAGGAATAACTACTGGCCTGAGATTTCTGTTTTCGCAGCGTGGCTTCAGGGCCCCTTTAAACTACTTAAACTACCCGCCACTTCTGCCAATGAACTCACTGGAAACCCCGCCCGTGCAGGCGGTCAACGGGTTTTCCAAAGCTCTTTTGCGCACTATGTTGACAAGATTTCCTTAGAGAGGCCTCTAGGCAGGAGCTAGCGATTCCCCTCTTGACCAGTTTTGAATGAACAGAGTCACAAGGGAGAATGCCTTTTCTAGATCTGGGTACGTACATCCAGCAGACGTGTTCCGGTAAAAAGCTTAACCTAAGGTCAAGAAACTGAAGGCTTCCCTCCTTTGATAATTCATGCGTAAACGACAGGCCACAAAAACAAGAGCGAAACATATCCAGCAGTCCCATGACATCGCTAGCAGAGTGATCAATCAATAGAGCACCCAAAGATGAGAAAAATTGTCTACATACTTGAAAATTCTAAAGCACCTTCGCTCTTTAACAGCCTCTCCGAAATATCCCGTAGATATGTACCAGCTGGCCCATATAAGTAGCGCGTGGCTATTTGTGGAATTCACGTACCTGAGCGTTGATACAAATATCCGCGGAGCACCGTTAAGTCGAAAAACGAAACTGACAAAAAAGCAAATGAGGCGATGTAGTCATTTTGCTTTCTAGACCACGACTGTTTTCCTAGCTGTAGTCGCCACGTTAATTCGCGAAGAATCTCGCGATGCAAATCAGGAGGCAGAAACGTTTGCCCGAATTATTCTCCGGTTGAGAGCAAACGCGAATAACCACCATCCATGACGAACCGTTTTCCCTGTCAGACACGTTTGCCTCATGACGAGGAAGGCCGCAGAAATCAAATAGAACACGTATAATGTGTGCACCGGAGGCATCAGCCGCGATTACCCTTGAGGGCGCTAAACACTTAAAGCTTTATAATATTTTTTGCATACTATTTGTTACAAGGTGTGATGGTACACACATAAATCAGCAATTCAGATTGCTATCGTCACGGACAGCTTAAGAATCGCACGTTTTTGTCATGATGCCGCATAAACTTTCCTGCTTTGTAGTTCGTTTCTCGGCTTTCTGAGAGGCCCACACGAAAATTGGGCAGTATCGACGGCTGGCTTTAAAAAAAATCAATATGTACACTGTGGTCAGTGGTAACACGGCACTGTGAAAAAGTGACCCATTAGATGTACCGCTAAAACGGGCCGTCGTAGCATCATTCATGAAGCACCCTTATATAAAATAGCCTACACGTTTCGACGTCCCTATGGTCACCAAGAGACTAAGAATCTCAAGGCGTGGCAAATCATGACCACCCTCTCGTTGCTAACCAGCAAAGGAGATTACGGCGTTCACTGTTATGGACAAACTGCGTGAATATATTAAGACCCCCCTTCACTTAAACCATCGCAGAATTCATGTATATCCTGCGTTGCCAGAGCTTGAAGCAGCAATCAGTATAGTCTTCTTTTAATCAGTGAAGCCATTATTAACTGGGGTCGATACATTTATTCGTGAATAGTATTACTGCTTCAATCGCAAAAAAAAAAGTGATAACCTGTGCCACAGAGACTCAATATTTATAGGTACGCGACACTGCCTGGATCATTTCAATGACCGATAGAAAGGAAGGAAGAGCAGTGACTCCTTTTGTCAATGGATCTCTGGGCAGCACACTTGCAAGAACTTCGAATAAATTGGCAGGAGGAAAGGGTCTAAAATGGGAGCTGCTCGTTCAACTCCGTTAGTTTCTTTTGTCACCACGCAATGGTGTATCTTAAGGTGAAAAGGTGAAGAACTGTGCTGTCTACTAGACAAATTGGCTTTCATTTTTATTATGTATCTATGTGTGTTCATTCTTAATTGTGTACCACCCCTACAATAGTCATTAACAAGGACCAGCGGTATAAACAAACGAAACAAATATTTATATACAAATTAATCACCAGCCTCCTCGACATACACAACATTAGTGAACCTTTTTTTTAGATATAAATCTGTAGTTTTAATTTTTTCCCGATTATTTACACCATCAATGAAGCTTCGTGCGAATGTGTCATTTTTAAATGTAGAGTGATCTGCTGTACGTCAAAAAAATGTTGTATTTTATCACAAAAAAAACGATGTGAGATCTGATGTTGTGTGCGTTGTCAATGGTATTTTTTATTCTGGAAATTCATTGCACTCTGCACAATGTCTTGTTCCTCAACAGCCTCGCTATGTTTGCGGGTACTTTTATCCGTCTCGTTTATGAAAAAAAAAAAAACAAAAAAAAAAAACGTACACGTCATAAGGAACGTAATCGAGTGCAGTTTTAACTAGTCTCGGTTAGAAAGTATCCAAGGAAATTAGTTGAGAAGCAAAGTAATCGAACTTTACATTAAAAAGGTAAGAGTTACTTTTCCTTCAGAAGTTTCATGAGATTATCATCTGACGTATCAAGAACAAAATGTAAAGAAAGTTTGCGACATTGAAAACAATATTCCTATTTCCCAATTTTCTGTCTTTTTAAACGCCGGCTTTTCGTACTGTCTATTTGTGGATCAAAATCACTGGATTGTACTCTACCCATATTCTGAATTATATTGGAATGCCAACATCTTACCTTGCATGTCACGAAGAGCTAATTTCTTTATCGCACCTTACTTTTTTTTTGCTGTTTAGCTATCTTATAGGCGTGTGAATAAACCATAGTGAAGAGGTATTTTTATTTGTATTTAAAATTTTTCAAGAGGAAAGGGGTACAATATCTTTAACGGTTCTGAAATACGCAGACATTACAGTTAACATGAAACTTCAAACTAAAATTAATTTGTAGAGAACCCGGTCTTTGTAGTCCTGCTTCCATAGAGCGCGGTAGTTCTGCTCCTGTAGAGCTCGATAAAAACCGGGTTATTTTTTGCTGTTCGCAATGCTTAGAAGCCAATAAATTGGAGATATCCTAGTAACGTTGGCTCCAAATGTATTGACTGAGTAGCTGTACACCAGGAAACCACAGGATAGGAAGGTGTTCGCAAAATCTAAGGAAACCAGGGTCAAATCAAGGTAAATGTGTGGAAACCAAGGTGTTGGTAAAATAGTAACGTCTACATGTGATGGTACTACTTGCCAAAGTACTTATTTATTTTTGTGATTGCTATCTCACAAAATTCATGGCACTTTTATAAAACTATTTTAAACAGTAATTGATTACAAGTAATTTTATCGCTTTTAAGGATGTAAAAGTCTGCATAACACTGATCCTATTACTTTTCTACAAATTAATTTTGCCTACTTCTGTTTATATTTAATTAATATTTTTGTTGCGAATCAAAACTTAGATTGTGCAGCGAAGTTTTCTCTTACCAATATTATGTTAACTATTATTTTGTTTTTCGCTGTTATTGTTTTGCAGTGTTTTTTCTTAGACATAGTGCACACCTTGAAAGGAATGCAATTCGCCTGGCAATAAAGGCTTTGAATGAATATATAAAAAGGTTTTGAAGTATAAACTTGGAACATCCACGCAATTCTCTCAAAAAGATGTTTCATGGTAATTATCTTTTCTTCCGACCACAGCAGCAGGCACCGTCGCCGGATTTCATGAATAGAAGGCAATGTCTCGGCGTGGCAGTCGTCCTGCTGCTGTCATGTTCCATGGGAGTGCACGGCTGGGCTACCCTCAAGAAGATCCTAATCGCCAGGCTGCTGAGTGGGCCTCGAGTCATCGCAGTTCCTGTGCCCATTCCCTCAGGACATCAGCACCATCCCCCTCCTCTTCCGCCACATCATCACCCACATCCTCCTCCACCCCCGCCAATGATGCCCGTACCCATACCGTGAGTAATACCCCTATTCTACTATCTTATAACACGAGTATAATATTCATGCTCTGACAGTGTTTCCTCCATTCACTGTAGATCTAAAAAGAACTGGCAGTGACAAGGCAAATGCGCGTTCAGAAATGTCTGCCTGATGTTTAGGTCAGAAACTATATTCTTTTAGCGTACTTTTAACCAAGTTAGCTATAACGCAGTAGCTTATCATGTTGACGCCTCTAGCTTTATGATTAGTTGTTCAGAATATTTATTGGCGGATACGACAATCTCATTGGCAGCGAATGAAGAATAAGATAATGGCCCAAAGCAAAGTCGTACCCTTCTTTAGCTATCAGTCACGCCAAAGAAGTCGAGTGCTATGGCGTTCCGGGGGTCGTCCGCTCGCTGTCACTGGCGTTGGGTCTATAGACACGTTTGCGCACTAGCGGGTCTAGGGTCCCAACGCCGGCGACAACGAGCTGATGAAAATCGCAAACCCTGTGCAAGAAGCAGACGAACTTGAGCCCCGCATTCGGAGCGCGCTACCGATCTTTTTCACCACTGGCGAAATTGATTAGGGGAGCATCTGAGATTAATGTTTCAAGAGCATTGAGGGCCGGTATGCCTTCAAGTGCAGAAACCCGTGTACCTGTAAAAAATAAAGCAATTCAACTTATTGTAAGAGGGTTATATTATAAGGTGTGTAAAGGTGAACAAAAACAAACTTGGGCGAACTTCCAAGGGGAGTATGTTGCTTCCAGGTGGCCATTGTTCCTGCTTGTTTTTGAGGACCCGCGGGGAGTAGCCCTTACTTTCAAACTCTCACCCCCGGGGACCAACTGCAGTACTGCCAGAAATTTACTTATGCTGGATCGACACGCCTTTCTGATCATTTGAATGTGAAGAATGTGCACTGGTACTTTAAAGAAATTTCAAATTTGTCGAAGCTATCGTGGGCACATCTTAATGAATACCTTGGAGTGACCTCGTCCATACACCTGAGAACGACTTGTGACCTACAAGTCCTTGAACCCGTTAAAGTATTTTGTGAACGACAGCGCATTGGCGATGCTCACCTACACTCTAAGAAATGCCCGCACGTTTACTTTTCGCAAAACACTCGAAGAGCCAATCTCTGCGATCTACAAAATCAGCTCGGCGAATGATGAGGCGGACCATCTGTTTAGACCTCAAAAGTAAGTCTGCGTTGTGGCATTGCGCAAGGCATGCACGACGCTTTGCATTGCGTATAATGCCACAGTGCAGTCTTCATTTTTAGGTCTAAACGGATGTTCCGTTTTATCATTCGCTGAGCTGATTTCGTAGATCGCAAAGATTGGCTATTTGAGTGTTTTGCGGGTAAGTAGACGCGCAGGCATTTCTTAGAGTGTATCTACCGCAGACGCCGAAGATAGGTGCCCAGCTTCACTGCAGGGCTCGGCGATTCAGATACGCAGAAGATCTCCAGGAAGTTTTTATGATGCGATGCTTCCTTCAGCTCGACGCAAAATTTTTAATGCACAATTTTAATTTTTTTTAATTGCTTGCTTTGGTTTTCAAGGTTTCTTTCCCTGAGCTCCGTTTCAGATGGCATCTGTATGTGCCGTAAGGGCCCATCGTTTTACGGAGATGGTCCTTCGAGGTGCCGCAACCTCGCCTTGCTTGGGCAGCTCGCGTTTGTCGCCTTTCGCCATTTGACGGCCGCACATGGAAGTAGGCTAGCACTGTCTGATGATGCCGCCATTCTGTGATCACCGAAGCTCAGCTGCCCTCAGCGGCGCCCCTAGTCCCTATAAACTTCCCTTGTGACATTTTGTTCGTGTCGGTGCCCAACTGCAACATAAAAGCACGACACAGGGACATTTGTAAAGCGCAGCTTGCGCGCAATTGCTAAATAGAGAACGAAAAGTTGCCGCGAATGCCCCAAAACACAAGGTAAACATAGGAAAACCAGAAGTATTGCTCTCCCCCTGTAATGGCGGGTGGAAGTGGCGCGAACACCCTGTTTAAGATGATTTTGATTTATTGCGAGAAATTTTTGTCACAAATCTTTTTCCACAGAAGTTAATTGCCATAACGATTTTTAGTTTTTACTGATTGTTCAACAAAAGACAAATCTGAACAAATCGGTACTATGAAGATGAGTTATACGGTCAGGGTAGCATAATATTGTCACGTTAATTGTTAGTATAAGTGAAACCATATGCCAAAATCTATTTCAGTTTGCAATTATTCAAAATAAACACATGGCAACAATGAGAAACTTCTTGACCGTCATCAAAAAGCACCAAATCCTTGAATTCTATAGAGATCTGATAAGTAAAAATACATCTCGTGCAAGAGGTGCGAAGCTAGCAGTGCGAAAACAATGATGCTAACTGTTGCGTATAATACGATCAACCTGCCGCCTCTCTGTTGAACACCTACGGCACCCACTCAGGTGGTCACGTAACGGTCTATATCACATGAACGAATGACGCTTTAGCGGACAATGCCATTTGAGCTAATCGACGTTTTGGCGAAGAACGAGGGCGCGTGTTAACCCACACCCTCGCGCTGCGCTTACGGCGCTTCGCGGCGACAGTCTGCGGCGGCTCATTAGAAAAATGTTAACCTACTTGGCCCAACCGTAAACGCCGCTTTGTTGCTGCCAACTATTCGCTAAAGAGTTTTTTGATGAAAAGTCGGCGTTCGCTAAAACGTCGTTCGACCAACTGAGGGCTACTTTTCACGTAATACCACCGTCCAGCCACCGCGGTATCCGCAGATCGGCTGACCCGAGCCGCCCGTGACGTGAGCAGGCTTGATCGTACGCAAATATCGTGTGAAAAAAGCAGTTCATACTCAGCAACCGACTGGAGTAGCCTCCCTCTAAGTACGGGACGAGACGCCCAGTACACCACTAACACCACCGCGTGCTTATCATCCCGACGAAAAGGCAAACAGCGCACACTGAACGGGGACTAAAGGAAGTGCAAACCGGACAAGCGCTTGTCCTGTTTGCACTTCCTTTAGTCCCCGTTTACTGTGCGCTGTTTGCCTTTTCGTCAGTATGAACCAACTAATCCACATCGCCACCCTTATCATCTGTTTTCTCAGTGCCAGACTTCTTTGTTGCACCAGGGGTAACTTGAGAGCACCACAGCTTTCCCCACAAGCACCAAATATTTCTCAAATTTACAAATTTAGTTGCTTTTCATGACGCTATGCAAGTTTTCACTTGGCGCCATCTGTTTATTCTTGTTAACTATGAAGTTAATTATGAACATTTAGTCAATTATCCGAGTTACAGTGACAAGTAACCTTTATATTGTTGCGCAGATGTGCGGCCGGCTGCAAATGACAAAGAGGTGTCCACTCAGTGAGATAGAAAAATACGGAAGCCCGGCCGTGCGCGAAGGACCTCCCCCGTGATTATGCCATTGCGCCAGCGTCGTCGTCTTCTTCGTCATAATATTATGTAACCTGGATCGCATAACTCACCTGCATTAGTGTGCTTTCGCTCTCCAAAACACATCCTGGATAACGACATACCTGTGAACCTTAAGACGGGGAAGATAAAAAAAAGACGCACAAAACAACAGAAAGTTTTTGGTTTTTGTGCCTCCCTCGTCTCACTGCTCGCAAGGATGTCGTCTTCTCAGCAGGCTCGCCGGCACCCCCCCCCCCCCCCTTCTCACTTCTCGCAGCCCTGCAAAACACCCACAAATCAAGTTGCGCTGCATTTCAGGTTGAAGGAAATTTAATTTTAATTTCATCTTTCGTAAAACCTTCTGCACCTTTGGGAGTTCCCCTAAAATTGTTTTATCTAATCATGCATAATTAAAGCCCCTTCATGTTTCAAAAGTAGCGCAAGGTTCGTCGAAGCACGAGGCACGTGAAACGTGCTGCCCTTGGGAAGATCATGGCGGCACAGCGCACCACTGAGAGATTTCAGACGCCATGAATTTCCCAGAAGTGGCGCGGCACGTGCCTCGAGCATTTATACAACAATGAATGGCGCCACGTTTCCCTGAATAGAAGGGCTTTATGTATAATAAGCGATCCTAGCCGCAGAAATAAAAAACAATTTAAAAGAAACGCCAACTTCCACATTAGTTGAGCTCGAAGGAACTTGTTAGCTAGTATCATCGCAGACGAATCGTCTCAGCTCTCACTGAGTCATTAGGGTCCAGAGGTCGGCATTTTAGGTCGCCCTCACTCACCCTCACCTTCACAGCCACACTCACCTAAGCCCCTCACTCACCCTCACCCTCACAGCTGCACTCACCTTCAGCCCCTCACTCACCCTCACCCTCACAGTCACACTCACCTTCAGCCCTTCACTCACCCTCACTGAACCTCACGGCCCTCACGCACTCACCGCCCTCACGGCCCTCACGGCCCTCATGCCCCTCACCGCCCTCACGGCCCTCACGCCCCTCACTCACTCATGGCCCTCACGAAACTCACCGCCCTCACGCCACTCACCGCCCTCACGGCCCTCACCGCCCTCACCGCCCTCACCGCCCTCACCGCCCTCACCGCCCTCACGGCCCTCACGCACTCATAGCCCTCACGCCACTCACCGCCCTCACCGCCCTCACCGCCCTCACGGCCCTCACGCTACTCACCGCCCTCACGCCACTCACCGCCCTCACGCCACTCACCGCCCTCACGCCACTCACCGCCCTCACGCCACTCACCGGCCTTGCGGCCCTCACACCCCTCACGCCCCTCACGCACTGATGGCCCTCACGCCACTCAGGCCAGGTTCAGATGGGGCAATTTCGCTCAGAAACTTTACGTCGCAACACCAGCAACCAGAGGTCGGCATTTTAGGTCGCCCTCACTCACCCTCACCCTCACAGCCACACTCACCTAAGCCCCTCACTCACCCTCACCCTCACAGCTACACTCACCTTCAGCCCCTCACTCACCCTCATCCTCACAGTCACACTCACCTTCAGCCCTTCACTCACCCTCACTGAACCTCACGGTCCTCACGTACTCACCGCCCTCACGGCCCTCACGCCCCTCACGGCCCTCACGGCCCTCACGATCCTCACCGCCCTCACGGCCCTCATGCCCCTCACTCACTCATGGCCCTCACGACACTCACCGCCCTCACCGCCCTCACCGCCCTCACGGCCCTCACCGCCCTCACGGCCCTCACCGCCCTCACGGCCCTCACCGCCCTCACGGCCCTCACGCACTCATAGCCCTCACGCCACTCACCGCCCTCATGGCCCTCACCGCCCTCACGGCCCTCGCGGCCCTCACCGCCCTCACCGCCCTCACGCACTCACGGTCCTCACGCCACTCACGGCCCTCACGGCACTCACCGCCCTCACGCCACTCACCGCCCTCACCGCCCTCACGGCCCTCACCGCCCTCACGGCCCTCACGCCACTCACCGCCCTCACGCCACTCACAGCCCTCACGCCCCTCACCGCCCATGCGGCCCTCACACCCTTCACGCCCCTCACGCACTCATGGCCCTCACGCCACTCAGGCCAGCTTCAGATGGGGCAATTTCGCCCAGAAACTTTACGTCGCAACACCAGCAACACGGGCCGCCCGCGATCACACGCAGCAACCAATTGCTACAATTTGCCATCGTCATCATAAAATTTTATTTTTCTTGCACTATTTGGACAGAATTACGCGTTATAAACGTTTTTTTATGCATTTAAACCTCGTTAAGAATACTAATGCACCTTTCTGAAACAGTTTATTTCCACAAAAAAACGATCGATTTCAAACCAGAACCAAGTCATTCGGTGTCATCATCACCGGCACGAGGTATCACGTGAAAATTTTGCGTCCCTGATTGGATGCAGCCGCTTCAAACGTATTCGAATGGCTCCGAGTTGCTTGCTTATTTCGAGCCGGACCCGATCTCAGCAATTGGTGTCGGTCTAGGGAAAGCTAGAGAACAACCCGCCATTAACACCAAAATTGCTGAGAAAGATGCTCGATCTGAAGGGGGCCTCACGCACTCACCGCCCTCACGCACTCATGGCCCTCACACACCTCATGCACTCACTGCCCTCACGCACTCATGGCCCTCACACCCCTCACGCACTCACCGCCCTCACACCAGTCACCGCCCTCACGCCCCTCACGCACTCATGACCCTCACCGCCCTCACGGCCCTCACCGCCCTCACGGCCCTCACGGCCCTCACTGCCCTCACTGCCCTCACGGCCCTCACGGCCCTCACCGCCCTCACGGCCCTCACCGCCCTCACAGCCCTCACGGCCCTCACCGCCCTCACAGCCCTCACTCACCCTCACACTCATGAATTTTCCTGGTTCAGAAACTCACTCACCCTCACCTCACCTGTGAAGATGAGGGTGAGTGAGGGTGAGTGAGGACCCTCATGAGTGAGGTTTGCCGAGGTATGCCAGCAACACGGGCCGCCCGCGATCACACGCAGCAACCAATTGCTGCAATTTGCCATTGTCATCATAAAATTTTATTTTTCTTGCACTGTTTAGACACAATTACAGGTTATAAACGTGTTTTATGCATTTAAATCTCGTTAAGAATACTAATGCACCTCTCTGAAACAGTTTATTTCCAAAAACGATCGATTTCAAACCAGAACCAAGTCTTTCGGTGTCATCATCACTAGCACGAGGTATCACGTGAAAATTTTGCGTCCCTGATTCGATGCAGCCGCTTCAAACGTATTTGAATTGCTCCGAGTTGCTTGCTTATTTCGAGCCGGACCCGATCTCAGTAATTCGTGTCGATCTAGGGAAAGCTAGAGAACAACCCCTCATTAACACCAAAATTGCTGAGAAAGATGCTCGATCTTAAGGAGGCCTTACGCACTCACCGCCCTCACGCACTTATGGCCCTCACACCACCTCATGCACTCACCGCCCTCACAGCCCTCACGGCCCTCACGCCTCTCATGTCACTCACTGCCCTCACGCACTCATGGCCCTCACACCCCTCACGCACTCACCGCCCTCACACCACTCACGCGCTCATGGCCCTCACGCCACTCACCGCCCTCACGCCCCTCACGCACTCATGGCCCTCATACCCCTTACCGCCCTCACCGCCCTCCCCGCCCTCACCGCCCTCATGGCCCACATGGCCCTCACGGCCCTCACGGCCCTCATGGCCCTCACGGCCCTCACCGCCCTCACGGCCCTTACCGCCCTCACAGCCCTCACGGCCCTCACCGCCCTCACAGCCCTCACGGCCCTCACTCACCCTCACACTCATACATTTTCCTGGTTCAAAAATTCACTCACCCTCACCTCACCTGTGAGGATGAGGGTGAGTGAGGGTGAGTAAGGGTCCTCATGAGTGAGGTTTGCAGAGGTATGTTAGGGTCCAACTCTGTTTAGGCTGAAGTGAATTGAAGCGATTTTTTTTACGATCTTTCAAATACAGTTAGACGCAAACCGAAGCCAGATCTTAAGTCATGTGACCAAATTATATAGCAAACAAAATTTATTATAGACACACCGTTTATTGGTTATCAGTGTAACACACAAGCTTTATTAATCATTTATTTATAGCTGAAGTAAAAAAAACGATTGAAACATTTTACAATCATAAAAATATTTAAAAAAGAAGTACAAGAACATAAACCACTCCTCCATTGACATCACCATTGGCTAGGCTAGCTCGCGCAAGCTACCACCCGTTGAAAAGGGCACACCAGTTAACACCCATTTAGCTATAAACCTGCCCAGAGCAGTATATACAGAGAGGTTGGCCTTTCATTGGGAAGCATACGAGTCAAATGAGGAGGCGCCACTGGCCGAAAGCGTGATTATGTGTTCCCAGGAGTCTTCACAAATTCTAATATGGCCAACTAGAAGCCGGAAATAATACCCTGGTGGTTTTCGCGAGAAACGAAATTAATAAAGGCGTCGGAGTAACTTTCGATGACTGAAAATATGGTGCACGTCATGTTTCAATCACGGTCATCCAAAATCATGGTGGAATAGCGTGACTAGCGGAACGATCGACATAATCCGTACGCCAGGTGCCGAGGGCCAGGAATCTGCCGTCCGAGTGGTCACACTCTGTTCGAGCAAAACAGAGTTCAAGAGGCACATTCGTTTCTGGGATGTTTCTGCATGACCATATTGGAAACATCACGTGCACCCAATTATCAACCTGAAGCGTTACTACACTTAACTCTTACGCTCTTATTAAATCGACACACCTATGATTAAACTGTTTTTCGCTACCACCGCTGGAGAATTCTTTTCGGCTTCTTGTAGGCCAAGAGGGCATGTCGAGCCCTCTATCTGCGTCCGGTGCACGCCCAATGCTGTGCCTTTTTCTTCCATCAACGAAACTCTTTCTATGAACGGCGTTGAGTCTACCGATTCAGCTTTAAAGTCCGGTGCAAATCAAGAAGCTAGAGCGAGGGTAAGACGGGTCAGGGAGGGGGAAGCAGAATGAACGCTGGAGAAAAGTGGGGGAAACCTCCTTCTCTCTAGCGTTACGTCTGCTTCCTCCTTCCCGGCTCGTCTTACCCTGGCATTACCTTCTTGAGTTGCAATGGACTATAGTTCCACGAGAGCGAGCTTCCGCGACTTGTAGGTCTCGTTATAAAAACAAATACAACCCTTCTTTATGCCGCCGATGAAAATATTCACGGCTACGATTGTTTCTGGGTGCCTTTCTTTGCTTTCCAGTACAGTAAATACCCGGCTAACGCTATATCTTGGTGACGATACCGCAGACGACGCCATCTTAAACTTAGTTAACAAAGTCCGTTCAGTTTAGTCATTATTAGACGTTCCTTGAAAGTTGGCGACGCACTGCAACTCCGACTGATGGCGATTGAACTAAATGCATGTGATCGCTTCAATGATAGTCGAGATGGTTGTATAAGGGGGATATAACACTGCATGTGTTACCTCCCATAAATAAACAAATGGTGAAACGTCGCAGCCGTGTCCGACCAAAAGTTATAGAAACGTTTCTTGTTTCAGTCTAATACGCGCAGAGTTGACATAACGGATGTCATTAGCGAATTTTAGAGTAAGGAGACCCCGCAGCTTGGGTCTCCCAAACTGCTGGGACAGTCTTACCGCGCATGCGCAGCACTTTTGTGCATGCCCACTGCGACGGCCTAAGCTGTGCAGGGAACCCAAAGCTATGGGGCCCCTATTCTAAAACTTTATATCGCCTGTCATCTTCTCTTAACACGCCAATCACTCTCATGTCTTTATTTATTTTCCAGAGTGCATCACTACCACTACCCTCCTACAAATATATGGCAATCACCACTTCCAAAGCCAGCCCCCGATGTCATCACTGACCTGTCCCATCTGCACGCCCTCTACGATTCGGCGTCTCTCCACGCCCCACACAAGCAGAACTACCAATATGACGTCATCGACCTCGGGACTGCTTCCGACGTTCTCACCGCTGATGCGGGAACAAAATCGACCAAGACTACACCGAAGAGTCACTGGCCTACGTACAGAGAACCCGTAGCTACACGCAGGCCATCGTACACGTCACAGAAGAGCCATACTTACTCCACCGCTCAACAAGAGGCCTATATGGCCGCCTTGAAAGAGTATCTAAAACAACAGTACACTTCACAAACAGAAACGTCGTGGCCCAAGCCCTCTTTGTCCTATCACAACGCTCCCTCCAAATGGGCCTTCGCTGAAGATGCGACTTCTAAAACAAAAGAGTATTCAAGAGTTCCGATTACAAGTTATGGGTGGCAGTACCCTGATTCTTTTGGATACAAAGACACGATGGCCTCTTTGGCAGCCAAACAACCTTCCTCCCGAGACAATTACGACTGGGCGAGATACATGGCATCAATGAACACGAAGTCCTCTTCGTCATCCGGCTATGATTGGACTAAGCATATGACCCCAGCAAAGGAGTTTTCGTTGTCAGACAATTACGACTGGGCAAGTCACGTTGCATCTGCGTACAAGTCGGCAGCTGAAAAGGCGCTTAAGCAAACGTCAGCGGTGTCGAGGTATGATACAGCTCAACAAGACTCGGAAAGCTACAGCTCCGCGCCCTCCACGCCAATATCGACCACTGAAGCGGCGTCTGCGTCCGAAAGTTATGAATCTTCAGAAGGCGCGGAGGCATCTTCCTCTCTGCCATACACTACGTCAACTGCATCTTCGACGTCAACGACGTCGATCAAAAACCTCGAAGCTCCCAACCCTCCTCCAGCAACGTCTAATCTGCCAATCGCTGAAAGTGGTGTTAAAAGGGACCGAATAACGAGAGATTGGTGATAGCAATCATGTCTCAGGCTCCGAGGGCTTACCAGTGTAGAAAAAGACAGTTTTTTTTGCGTCATCTATGCATAGGTATAGAAGAATGCAGTCTCTTTCCAACATCCAGATATTGGGGTTAAAAAAGTAGTCAGCTCCATGTTTCATGGCATATACCATGAAACATGGAGCTTAATTTCTATTTTGCATATACAAAATAGAGATTCAAGAAACTTTTAATTTACATTGTTTAGAACGATTTTAACGGTGTTTGTGAGCATGATGTTTCTAAGAGCACTCAAAAGGGGGACATTCAAGCTACCGCGTGCCTGAAATTATAGTTGGCTATTCCGAATAAATTCCTTTTTTAACTTATCGCGGTAACGGTCTGGACAGGGGTGGCCGAGGATGGCGCATTTCTGTGCGTTAAAATGTTGAAGAAAAATTTACCTGAGTATAAAGCAACAAAAAAAAAATATACAGGAGGACACTTAAGAGTGCTTACGTGCAGGAATGGCGTACTCCTACAAGCTGCGCACCCCGCTACCCTCTACAGACGCCGTCCGGCCGGGCTCTGGGTAGCGGCGGTTGTGCGTTGCTGCGGAACTATCCGGCGCGCGAGCGGCGCGGATGAAATTTCTCGGTCGTTTTCGCGGTTACGGACAACGCCGGCTCAGCTCCATGGGACAGTTAATGCTTTCGCATCAATACAACAACAATAAGGATTTGATTTTGCTACCTACGGTGCCAAATCTGTGAACAAAGGCGCAACAGCCGGAAAATGGAAGCAGCAAAATGCGAGCACGCAGACATTGATCTTCAAAGCTCTGAGGGTAAAAGCGCTAAGGGACAGAGACGAACAACACAAAGCGCCCTGTGTTGTTCGTATCTTTCACTTGCCTGTTTTTTTTTTTGCGCTTGTACTTTCTGAATAATGAATCAGCAATTAACCCAAGTTCATACCCTTCTACTCCCACTGCATACGAAATTTTCGAGTCAAATCCAGCGCGGGATTGTTAGGTGTAGTGCACTATTTAGTTATGTTTACTCTTGAACCACTCTGGAACACAAGACAAACCCGACGTATTTTTGTCGGGGCATTTCTGCTATATGTCAAAAGCTTCCGCCACCTCCCGGCTCTTGCGTCATCCAAACGTCTTTCATTTGCAGTCGGCTGCTATAGGTAGCAAATCAAGCTCTTAGTTTCTTACTGTTTATTCAGCTTAGCTTATTTTTTTGCATTGTGACCCACAAACGGCACAATCTTCGACCACCTATGTTCAAAAACTTGGTCCGATTCATGAACAAAAGAAGATTTGTACAATCATTTCAAAAGGCCCAAAGGCCATACAAAGGGGGCAGGCACAGTAACCAAACTAAAAAAAAGAACGTTTACACCTAATGTTTGCGTTGACAAACACCCAGTAAAACTTTACGCTCCGTGTCGCATTCGAGATTTCGCATTTTAGTAAATATCTCATATTGAACTTAGCAAAGTTCTCAAATTATTTGCCAATACGTTGGCCCCAGCAAATTGCCGCGACTGCACCTCAGATAAAAGAAAACCTTCGGTTGACTTACCTAAGTCAATGAATGTTCCTAGAATACCGAAACTCCCAAACTTCGCTTCAGAACCGCGTCGAGGCATAGCAGTCGCGCTCCAACCCTTCCCCGATTTGGGGCTGCACTGTGCGGTCGAAGTGAAACGCGTAGTGTAGCGTTCGTGCTCATTCGAGCTCTTCACTGACGTTTGTGATCTGTCGCGACACCTTTTTTTTTTATTCTATTCCTTTTTTTTTTTTTTTGTTCCAAGTGGTGCGTGACTTGCTCCTCGCTGTCTCGGCTCTCTCTCTTTCGCCTCCAAACACGTCAAAGCCGAGTCTTAGCGTCTGAGGTGTACAGTTTGAAACGCAGCACCAGCGCAACCGGAGCGAGCCAACAAGCCGGCAATCTTCTTTAGCGAAACAGATTAGCAACTGCTTGATATAACAAAAACAAGAAAAAATCGAAACACTTTCCATTTGGTGTTAACTCATCGATGCCCAGAGCTCCATCCCGTCCGTTCCCCGCCGTAGCCGTGGTAAACCGGAAATGTTTTATGAAATAAACAAAACAACACAAAAAATACATTTTACCGGGTGTTTCAGATAGCGGCAAGGCTCTTTGAATCGACCGCTAAATTCGGTTTCGTAACCTATCCCGCTACGATTTTGTGCAGCGTTGCCCGCTAATGGTGCATTTTTTGCTAAAATTTGCGAAGAGCGAATTTACCCCGGGAAAAAGTAAAGAAATAAAAAAGCTTAGCTCCTATGGAAACGTAACGAAGCCACCGCTCTTCAAACCATACGGCACCGTTTCGCACCGGAAAAAAAGAGATGGCGCAAGCGGTCGCGACGCCAACTGCCGCCAACGAACGTGCATTCGGCGCCGAGAGCCGGCGTCTTTAGCAGACGGTCTTTTTGGCTCAAAAGCGGCGGCCGTTCCGCAGGCGGCGACTGTCGCAAAAACAAAAACGGGCGCGGTAACAACAAGGAACTGCAAAGCAGACGACATAAATACCACGAAAAAAAAACACTCAAAATAACCCGACGAACCATTTTTTAATCGATTATGTTTCCATTTAGTGTGTTTTATTAGTACGGAGGATAACATAACGCCTTGGCAACTGATATAAAAAAAAAGATCGTTCAGCCTTTCCACTCTTGTGAAGAAGGAAGACCAGCGGAGCTATACTCGATACACTGTGTGATTCTTCTTCGTCGTCGTCTGTTTTTCGCGCTGTTTTCTACGATGAATTCCCATTAACGCGCCCAACTATCCATTCGTCTATTATAGCTGGAAAGGTTGCCGCCATCTACGAGCGATGGCGGAAACCATACTGGTTGTGTGCTTGCCGCCGTCGCTTATAGATGGCGGTAGTTGTCCAGGTAGATTTGTGCCGAGATACACGGACACGATCCTGGGGAACTAGCCCTTAACAGCTCCGCTGAAAAATGCTCGCACCGCTTTTGAGCCGAAAAAATCGTCTGCTAAAGACGCCGGCTCTCGGCGCCGTATGCTCGTTCGTCGGCGGCAGTTGCCGTAGTTGGCGTCGCGACCGCTTGCGCCATCTCGTGTCTCGTGCGAATCGACGCCGTCTTGTTTGAAGACCGGTGGCTTCGCTGCGTTTCCATAGAAGCTAAGCCTTTTCCTGTCTTTACTTATTCCTTGGGTAAATTCGCTCTTCGGAAATTTTACAAAACAAGTCCACTACCTGTGGGTGACGCTGCACAAAATCGTAGCGCGATAGGTTAAGAAACCGAATTTTGCAGTCGATTTGAAGACCCTGGCTGCTACTTGGGGACGCCTGGTATATACGTTTTTGGTTGTTTTGGGCCCATCTCCAAAATGGTCGACTGACAACTTTCGCCACGGGCTGAACCAGCGAATCAGAACTTGATTCTGCGGGATTGACCTCCGGTAAGCCAAGTGGATGAAATTGGATGCTCTGGGAATATTCAGTGAATCTAGCCTAAACCTGTAAGAAACAAGCCATGATACTGCACATGTTTGCGTGAATGCGAGTGTGTTCATACCAACGCAACCCAGAAGACAAGGTTTGCGGCACCCCCCTCCCCACCTAACCTCATCACTTGTGAATACACAGCAGCGCCGCCTAGCTCGCATCAGCATCGCTGCCAGCGCCTCTTGCAGAAGTCTCATTACTGTATTTGGACGCCGGAAAACGGCAGTCGCAGCGACACCTGAGGCGCGTCTCTGCCGCTTAGCGTCGCAGAAGCTTATTGTGTTTTCCTCCTTGGGGGCCGGTCCAGTGTCCACTAACGATGACGTCAGGAGGAAGCCTTGTCTTCTCGGTGGTGTTGGTTCATACCTTCCCCGGTTGTTGGGCTTCGGCCATTGCAGAGATTACTGATCGCGGATGCCATAGTGGCTGCAACTTTCAGGAAGGTTTCTGCGGCCCGCGTTCGACCTTAGCAAACGCCATAAAGCTCTGAAGTTTTCATCATTCAGAAATAAATGCTTAAATATTATCAGTACCTTTCTGATCTTGTTTCTTGGTAATAAATAGTTAAGGCGTTTTTGTGTGACCTCAAAAAGAAAGCCTCTACACTTGGCAATAAATACAAGGAGTTGTGGTACAAGCTGAAGAAACGTGTTGTGTGATAGAGGTAGGTTTGTGCTCTATCTTGCACTGCAACGAGGTCGACTGTCAGGATTCGTTCTCTCCTGTTGTTTTAAGGGAAGACGCCGCCACTTCTTTCTTCACTCTACATTTCAGCGTAGGAAGAAATTTGGAGGTAAAGCGCAAGGTGGGGGGGGGGGGGGGTTTAGTGTACCTATACGTTTGGGGGTTTTAAGCCTTAACGCGTATAGCTGAGCGTGTTGGCGACAATATTACGAAAACAATAGAGGGACATAGAAGACAATACAGACGGCACACTCTGTAATAGGAAACGTTTTCTATTTTAGTTTAAGACCTAAGTCACCAAAACAAATTTATTTTAAAACTATGATAAATTGCCAAACGCACATTGTTTATAGTATTTTTCCTTTCATTGCTGATCAAGGAAGCTACGGTTTTTCCATGCACACATTTAGAGCACGGCTTCAATGCGCCCGTTTCAGCTTGAGCGGCGTCGGGGTAACCACACGTTGCAATATGGGACGTTTTTCATAATTACGTCACACGTGAGTTCACATAGGGCCTAAATTTTGCGGGAAATTTTCCCGCTAAATTTAGGAAGAAAATTTTTCCGCCAAATTTATCGGGGAAATTTTTTCGTCAAACTTAGCGGGGAAATTCCCGGCTAAACTTATCGGCGAAAGTTTTTGCTAAATTTAGCGAAAAAATGTTCCCGCTAAACAAAGCGGAGAAATGTTTCCACCAAATTCGCGGGTGGAATTTCCTGTCCGAAATTCTTCTCTCCTCCTCCTCAAGAGCTGAGCTCTGATTCGGCATTACAGCTAATTAAAACGTTTCTCAGTTTTTATGATGACTCTTCCAGGAACTCTGCTGCTGG